GACAACACGAGTTAAAAGTGCTACGGTTAGGTGGTCAGAGGAAAACAACGGAAACATGTAGTTTCGATCCGGTAAGGAATATAAAGATGGTCCCTAAATTCAACGAAAAGGAAGTTTCGAAGTTCTTCGCAGCTTTCGAGAAGGTTGCTGCCTCTTTGGATTGGCCAAAGGAGAATTGGGCCATCATGATACTGTCCGTCTTGACTGGGAAGGCCCAAATTGCCTACTACACGTTGTCCCTTGATGACTCCAGTAATTACGACAAGGTGAAGAAGGTAGTGCTCATGGCTTACCAGTTGGTGCCTGAGGCTTATAGGCAGAAGTTCAGGAACCTGAAAAAGACCTCGGAGCACACGTTCACCGAGTTTGCCAACCTCAAGGAACGGCTTTTTCAGGAGTGGTGTGCTTCTCGAAAGGTGAAGACGAAAGAACAACTCGAGCAGCTCGTTTTGTTGGAGGACTTTAAGGAATGTCTGTTTGGAGATCTGAAGACGTACTTAGAGGAACAACAGGTGGAGACCTTAACTGCAGCAGCCACTATGGCTGAAGAATACATCTTGACACATAGGTCTTCCACTAGGTATGTCCCTAAGAATTACCCACGTCTGTTTGGCAAACCTCGTCAGGAAGAAGAGAGACCCGTCCCAGAAAGTGCTTTGAAGACGACCCCAGGTAGTCCCTGGAGGACTAGTTCTAGCAGTCCAAAACACCGCAGTCCAAGGAGGGACGTAGTGTGTTGGACTTGTGGGCAGAAAGGGCACATTGCTGCTATGTACCGAGGCAGAAGAAGTAACGGCCCACATAGGGAAGTAATGCTGATGGGTTGTGTGACGCCGCCAGCTGAAACCCAGTCTCTAATGACTAGTCGAGAAGGACCAGGATTGTTTGCCCCTCACACTTCTGGCGGGTATGTAACGAGTGATCATACTGGTAGATCAGTTGTAGTGCTCCGAGATAGTGGAGCAGCCCAGTCCCTGATCATGAGAGACTCGTTACCCGAGGGAGTGAGTGTAGAAGGGAGACAAAAGGTTGTCCTGGTTTGGGTTTCCTATGACGCGGTACGTTGCCCCCTTAGTGCCAGTACACCTAGAATCGCCCTACTTCAGTGGCACATGTGCGTTGGCAGTAGTTGATACCCTGCCTATAGCTCGGATAGACGTAGTACTAGCCAAGGACTTGGTAACAGGTTGGAACGACAATCATCTCAAGATTGTGGACGAGTCAGCCGGAGCAGCAATAAGGTGTGAGGTAACAACAGGAAACAGTAATATCCAGATACAGGCAGACGTACAAATATATAACTTGTTTAATTCTTCCTCTACCTAACTGATCGACAGCATTCTAACAGATTCTGCCGACTCTTCTCCCGACAAGAAACATGGGGCTACAGCGACAGAAGCAACTGAGCAAGAGGAGGGGCCTCATGTACAAACGCTCACGGATACCCAAGAGCCTGGAGTGACGGCAGATGAGTACTTGCGATATGGCAAGGTACAATGTTCACTGATCTGGTCAGAGATTCCCCAGACGTCAGAGGTATGTGAGGTAGGTGTGCAGGTTCTAGTGCCCTCTTTGATCCAAGCCAGGCTAATGGATATACCCGGCTATGGGTATTATAGGCTCGTGAAACTTATTCCTAGGCTTATTCTTAAATGTTTCTTAGCGGTATTTTGTTTTATTCTTGTGTGTGTTCTAAATAAGGACCAGTAAACCGTCAGGTGATGGCCCCTATGAACATCGTGGAGAGACCCCAGGGATTGGAGGCTTGCACTGTGAGGATTGCAGTCGAAGAAAGGACCTGGAAAGTGATGGTTGATATAGGAAGTAGGAGAAATGTTTTTATGACAACCTGTCATAAAAACCTGTCATGGGGGTGTCAACCTGTCCCGACAGGTTGACACCCCCCGCGTAATTGCTGAGCGTGGATTTAGTGTTATACGGAACGTTGGTCGACCTGACGGTGGCAGAGCGAACACCATCTTCAATGTACAAGCAGCCCTGTTGGGACTAGGCGTGGGCCTAGTAAGCGGTTATGCCGTAGGTACATATTTAAAAACTGTCGCTGTTACTCCAAATCATCAGTCCCCTGTATTCCAGGTTCCCGTCTTACTGAAGGAGTACCGGACCGGTACAAGAAATGCCTTCCGCGACCAGCCACCAGCGGTGTCACGACACAGGGTGGTGTCGATTCACCCCAGAACGAGCCTTTAGAGATCGTTACTCAAGACATATGAGATAATTGTGCCCCTGATTAGCATCTCAGTGAGGTTGTTGGAAGTCACATCAGGCAGGACTTTGCCTATGATCTTCAAGTTTTCCTTGTGCCTGATTCTCGCATGAAAGCAATTTTGCGGACAAGACATACTTGCCACATCAGTCCAGTGTTTATGTGCTTCCGTTTGGTTTTGTACTAATTTGGTTTGTTTTCTCTTTTGTAGAACCCAAACCAAATTCCTTTTTGGTGGGGAGGTGTTACGAACCCAAGTCCACCGTCGGAGCATGGAGCAGTGACAACAACACCATCTGTGAATCCGCTCCTAAAAAACCCCACAACATGGACAACACCATCTAGTGACGACGGGATATGCCAGCAATGGGCGCTGGATTCCTGTCCTAGTCGGCTCATGAAGTAGCCACTGCTGACCTCTGGTGAGGTGGCGCTTAGACAGTGAACGCCATCTATGGAGCGAAAGGTGGACGTTTGTGTCTAAGACAGTAAGTGATGTTTCCTAGTGGTTTCCATGTAGTGTCCCAGTACTGATGACGTGTCTGCTTTCACAGAGTCAACCTAGGACAGCTGTGATGTACGATGAATCAGTCTACCCAAGGCAGCCAAAGTCTCTTCACCAGTCTGTTTTGTAGAAGCAGTGAGCCGCCACCGGACAAGCACTGCTGAGTGTTCAATTGTGTGCCTGAGGAGTGGCAGTGACGGGATTTGCCGTACCCGGGGCTGCCTGGTGGAAGAGACAACCCACTGCAGTGCTGTCCGAGGAGTAACCAGCGAGTTACACAAGGCTCCTGCCTAGGGCTCACAACCTTAGTATTCGTCGTGAAGTGGCCTAACAGCGAGGCTGATTGGTACCTGCCAGCTACAGGCTGGACTGTGGTTGTGGGACTTCACGACGGGGCACCCAATGGAATTGTGATTCGGCTGGCCTGTGGCCAGGATAGATTCATTGTCGTTTCCTGGTACCTGCAGAGGGTTGTGCTATGGAACAGGAAACCAGCCAAGATTACATGGAGTGAGCATCACCAAGTGTTCAGCGTCTTCAGAGGGAGACGAAGATATATATTGTGTAGTAATATTTCCCGTTTGTGACTTTTAATTTATATATGGTGGTGGGAAAGAATTATATATATATATATATATATATATATATATATATATATATATATATATAAATATATAACTGAAAACTCACACCCCAGAAGTGACTCGAACCCATACTCCCAGGAGCCACGCAACTGGTATGTACAAGACGCCTTAATCCACTTGACCATCACGACCGGACAAAATGAGGTGATAGCCGAGGCTATTTGAACCACCCCACCGCCGGCACTCGGATAGTAATCTTGGGCATAGCATTTTACCAAATCACCTCATTCTTTGGGGCACACGTGAGGAACACAAATGCGAACAAGCCTGAATGGTCCCCAGGACAATATGCAACTGAAAACTCACACCCCAGAAGTGACTCGAACCCATACTCCCAGGAGCCACGCAACTGGTATGTACAAGACGCCTTAATCCACTTGACCATCACGACCGGACAAAATGAGGTGATAGCCGAGGCTATTTGAACCACCCCACCGCCGGCACTCGGATAGTAATCTTGGGCAGAGCATTTTACCAAATCACCTCATTCTTTGGGGCACACGTGAGGAACACAAATGCGAACAAGCCTGAATGGTCCCCAGGACAATATGCAACTGAAAACTCACACCCCAGAAGTGACTCGAACCCATACTCCCAGGAGCCACGCAACTGGTATGTACAAGACGCCTTAATCCACTTGACCATCACGACCGGACAAAATGAGGTGATAGCCGAGGCTATTTGAACCACCCCAAAGAATGAGGTGATTTGGTAAAATGCTATGCCCAAGATTACTATCCGAGTGCCGGCGGTGGGGTGGTTCAAATACCTCATTTTGTCCGGTCGTGATGGTCAAGTGGATTAAGGCGTCTTGTACATACCAGTTGCGTGGCTCCTGGGAGTATGGGTTCGAGTCACTTCTGGGGTGTGAGTTTTCAGTTGCATATTGTCCTGGGGACCATTCAGGCTTGTTCGCATATAAATATATATATATATATATATATATATATATATATATATATATATATATATATATATATATATATATATATATATATATATATATATATATATATATATATATATATATATATATATATATATATATATATATATATATATATATATATATATATATATATATATATATATATATATATATATATATATATATATATATATATATATATATATATATATATATATATATATATAAAGTGATAAACCTCCCCTGTTTATTTTACTTGCATTATGGAGCTCACCCCTAGAAAGCTTCTACTAACTTGGGGCCGGATACCCAAAAACTAATACTAATGGGCGCCAGGAGTGACCATGGGAACGGTCAGCGAATATATGCAGAAATTTAAGGAGCATCTCGCATTGGCGAAAGAGCTAGAAGGGTAGCATTTGAAGGAGGTGCAGCAAAAGATGTCAGGAGTTTTACGACAAGAAAGCTATGCCAAGAGAGTTCCGGGTTGGGTCCCAGGTTATGGTGTTACTGCCAGGGAAGAGCCGTGTGATCGAGTCACGATTTGAGGGACCGTACAAGGTGCTAAGACGATTGGGTCCAGTATGCTATGAAGTCAGCAAGCCGGAAAGACCCCGCAAGACACAGGTGTGTCATATTGACCCTCTGAAGCCTTTCTTCCCTGAAGAAGGAGGAGTCGCCGTGCACGACGGAACAATGCCACGAGAACTACAGCAGAAAGTGGTTTTATGCGTGCAGGTGAATCAAGAGATTCCAGCAGAGGAAGGAAAATGGTCCAGGACGAACAGCACCCATCTCTCCAATGCGGAGAGTTTGGAGAATATCGGAGTCAAGCTTCAACACCTGGAAGGAAGACAGAGAGCGGATCTGATGGACCTGTTGAGAGAGAATGCATCTCTTTTTACCGACGTACCCCGACGCCACAAGAGTGTGACGCACGAGGTAGAGGTGACGGACGCCAGGCCCATTAAACAGAGTGCTTATAGGGTCAGCCCTGAGAAGCGAGAATTGATAAGGAAGGAAGTAGAGTACCTTATTGAGAATGACCTTGCTGAGCCTAGCAACAGCGAGTGGAGTTCCCTGTGTTTGCTGGTTAAGAAAAGTTAAGAAAAAGGGAAGTGTGTGAGGATGGGGGCAAAGTCTCCTGCAGGAGGGGTGTGTACCATTACCTTAAGCGTTTTTCAATGTCCGCGGAGGGGTAAGCGTACTGGTCGCAGGTTGGAGCCCGACTGATCAACTTTCCAACTAGCCCGGGTATTTCTCCTCCGACACCGGAACTGGTGGGGCACCCATTACCAATGTGTTTCGCCAGGGTCCGCGACTCTCTCTCCATCTGTCTCTCTGTCTCTCTCTCTCGCTCTGTCTCTCCATCTGTCTCTGTCTCTCTCTCTCGCTCTGTCTCTCTGTCTCTCTCTGTCTCTCTGTCTCTCTCTCTCTGTCTCCCTCTCTCTCTCTCTCTCTCTCTCTCTCTCTGTCTCTGTCTCTCTCTCTCTGTCTCTCTCTCTCTATCTCAGAGATAGATATATATATATATATTTATATATATATATATATATATATATATATATATATATATATATATAACTGAAAACTCACACCCCAGAAGTGACTCGAACCCATACTCCCACAACTGGTATGTACAGGGACGCCTTAATCCGCTTGACCATCACGACCGGACATAAGGAAGTGATAGCCGAGGCTATATGAACCACTTCCCCGCCGGCACACGGATGGTAATCTTGGGCATAGCATTTTATCAGATCACCTCATTCTTTTGGGGCACACGTGAGGAACACAAATGCAAACAAGCCTGAATGGTCCCCAGGACTATATACAACTGAAAACTCACACCCCAGAAGTGACTCGAACCCATACTCCCACAACTGGTATGTACAGGGACGCCTTAATCCGCTTGACCATCACGACCGGACATAAGGAAGTGATAGCCGAGGCTATATGAACCACTTCCCCGCCGGCACTCGGATGGTAATCTTGGGCATAGCATTTTATCAAATCACCTCATTCTTTGTGTTCCTCACGTGTGCCCCAAAAGAATGAGGTGATTTGATAAAAATGCTATGCCCAAGATTACCATCCGAGTGCCGGCGGGGAAGTGGTTCATATAGCCTCGGCTATCACTTCCTTATGTCCGGTCGTGATGGTCAAGCGGATTAAGGCGTCCCTGTACATACCAGTTGTGGGAGTATGGGTTCGAGTTACTTCTGGGGTGTGAGTTTTCAGTTGTATATAGTCCTGGGGACCATTCAGGCTTGTTTGCATTTGTGTTCCTCACGTGTGCCCCAAAAGAATGAGGTGATTTGATAAAATGCTATGCCCAAGATTACCATCCGAGTGCCGGCGGGGAAGTGGTTCATATAGCCTCGGCTATCACTTCCTTATGTCCGGTCGTGATGGTCAAGCGGATTAAGGCGTCCCTGTACATACCAGTTGTGGGAGTATGGGTTCGAGTCACTTCTGGGGTGTGAGTTTTCAGTTGTATATAGTCCTGGGGACCATTCAGGCTTGTTTGCATATATATATATATATATATATATATATATATATATATATATATATATATATATATATATATATATATATATATATATATATATATATATATATATATATATATATATATATTCAGGCTTGTTCGCATATATATATATATATATATATATATATATATATATATATATATATATATATATATATATATATATTATTTTCTGGTTTAGGGCTTCTATCCCTCTAACTATTTTCTTAGAACATAAGAACATAAGAACAAAGGTAACTGCAGAAGGCCTATTGGCCCATACGAGGCAGCTCCTATTCTATAACCACCCAATCCCACTCATATAAGAACATAAGAACAAAGGTAACTGCAGAAGGCCTATTGGCCCATACGAGGCAGCTCCTATTCTATAACCACCCAATCCCACTCATATACTTGTCCAACCCGTGCTTGAAACAATCGAGGGACCCCACCTCCACAATGTTACGCGGCAATTGGTTCCACAAATCAACAACCCTGTTACTGAACCAGTATTTACCCAAGTCTTTCCTAAATCTAAACTTATCCAATTTATATCCATTGTTTCGTGTTCTGTCCTGTGTTGATACTTTTAATACCCTATTAATATCCCCCCGGTTATGTCCATTCATCCACTTGTAAACCTCTATCATGTCACCCCTAACTCTTCGCCTTTCCAGTGAATGCAACTTAAGCTTTGTTAATCTTTCTTCATATGAAAGATTTCTAATTTGGGGAATTAACTTAGTCATCCTACGCTGGACACGTTCAAGTGAATTTATATCCATTCTATAATATGGCGACCAAAACTGAACTGCATAATCTAAATGGGGCCTAACTAGAGCAAGATATAGCTTGAGAACCACACCAGGTGTCTTGTTACTAACGCTGCGATTAATAAATCCAAGTGTCCGATTTGCCTTATTACGAACATTTATGCATTGATCCTTTTGTTTTAGATTCTTACTAATCATAACTCCCAGATCCCTTTCGCAATCCGACTTCGCAATCACAACACCATCTAGCTCGTATCTTGTAACTCTATCATCATTACCTAACCTCAGAACTTTACATTTATCAGCATTAAACTGCATCTGCCAATCCTTTGACCATTTCAAAACCCTATCTAGATCAACTTGAAGTGATAGTGAGTCCTCCTCCGAATTAATTTCCCTACCGATTTTCGTATCATCGGCAAATTTGCAAATGTTGCTACTCAAACCTGAATCTAAATCATTTATATATATTATAAACAACAGAGGTCCCAGGACAGAGCCTTGAGGCACTCCACTTACAACATTTTCCCACTCTGACTTGATACCATTTATACTAACTCTCTGTTTCCTTTGGTATAGCCATGCCCTAATCCAGCTTAATATAGCACCCCCAATACCATAAGACTCTATTTTTTTAATCAGTCTTTCATGTGGCACTGTATCAAAAGCTTTGCTAAAGTCAAGGTATACAACATCGCAATCCTTACCACTATCAACTGCCTCAACAATGCTAGAATAAAAAGATAACAAATTTGTTAAACATGAACGGCCATTTATAAAACCATGTTGCGACTCAATTATTAATTTATGTTTTTCAAGATGAAGACGAATTTTATTTGTTATTATAGATTCGAGTAACTTTCCCACAATAGACGTTAGGCTAATTGGTCGATAGTTAGACGCAAGTGATCTATCTCCTTTCTTAAAAACTGGTATCACATTAGCAACTTTCCAAAACTCCGGCACTCTGCCTGACTCTATTGATTTATTAAATATGGTTGACAGTGGGTCACAAAGCTCCTCTTTGCATTCTTTAAGCACCCTGGCAAACACTTCATCCGGCCCTGGGGATTTGTTTGGTTTGAGTTTTACTATTTGTTTAAGAACATCCTCCCTGGTAACTGTTAAACTCGTCAACCTGTCCTCGTCCCCACCCACATAGACTTGTTCGGCTGAAGGCATATTGTTAAGTTCCTCTTTAGTAAATACAGATACAAAATATTTATTAAAAATACTACTCATCTCTTCATCACTATCTGTTATTTGACCTGTCTCAGTTTTTAATGGACCTATCCTTTCCCTAGTCTTAGTACGATATAACTGAAAAAACCCTTTAGGATTTGTCTTTGCTTGCCCTGCTATGCGAACTTCATAGTTTCTTTTTGCTTTCCTTATCTCTTTTTTAACATTTCTAACCAGTTGTACGAATTCCTGTTCTAAAGTGACCTCCCCATTTTTAATCCTTTTGTACCAAGCTCTCTTTTTACCTATAAGGTTCTTCAAATTCTTTGTTATCCACTTTGGGTCATTAGTATTCGATCTATTCAATTTGTATGGTATACTACGTTCCTGTGCTTTGTTTAGAATATTCTTAAATAAGTTATATATTGAATCCACATCGAAATCCCCATTTAAGTCACCTATCGCTGGGTTCATGTCTCGCTCCAAGACCGGCCCACACCCCATACCCAAGACTTTCCAATCAATTTGACCCAAAAAATTTCTTAGGCTATTAAAATCAGCTTTTCGAAAATCTGGCACTTTAACAGAATTTTCTCCTACTGGTCTATTCCATTCTATGCTAAATCTGATTTCTTTGTGATCACTGCTCCCTAGCTCACTCCCTATTTCGATGTCATTAATTTGCGTTTCCCTGTTAGTTAACACTAAATCTAAAATATTATTTTCCCGTGTTGGTTCCTTAATGTGTTGCGTAAGAAAGCAATCGTCAATTAATTCTAGAAAATCTTCTGCTTCACTATTCCCTGTTTTGTTCAACCAGTTTATTCCGCTAAAATTAAAGTCACCCATGACATAAATACTGTTAGATCTAGATGCTCTAGATATTTCATCCCATAGATGCTTTGCTTCCATTCTGTCTAAATTTGGTGGCCTATATATTACTCCTATTATAATATTATTAGCTTTTTCGTTTAATTCAATCCAAATAGTTTCTGTGTGTGGCTCTGTTTTGATTCCCTCTTTGAGACTACATTTCAAATTGTCCCTAACATATATGGCTACTCCACCTCCTCGTCTAATATATCTATCTGTGTGAAATAGTTTAAATCCATATATTTGATATTCAGCTAATAGTTCTCTATTTTCTACATTCATCCACGTTTCGGTAAGTGCAATAATATCTATTTTTTCTGTGCAGACAAGAGCATTTAATTCGTTAATTTTATTTCTTAGACTTCTACTGTTAGTGTAATATACCCTAAGTGAATTGTTATTTTGCGGACCTTCTCTTTCCCTGGTCGTTTTGCCAATTCCTTTCTCCCACAAACACATACTTTTATTACCTCCTTCCTCCAAATCAATTCCCATACCTCTATCTACTAACAGTTTAAACCCAAACAAACACCTCTAACCACTTCTTCTAACGAGTTCGCAACAGCAACAACCCCAGCTCTCGATAGATGCACCCCATCACGAGCATACATTTCATTTCTTCCATAGAAGTGTTCCCAGTTGTCTATGAAAGATATTGCATTTGATTTGCAATATCTTTCCAGCCGGCAATTGACACCAAGTGCCCTCGATATCCATTCATTTCCCACTCCCTTTCTTGGAAG